TATAATTTATTTCCATTATTATTCTTGTTGTTATAAATGTAATTTTGATAATCATAATAATAATAATAATAAATTATGCATGGTGTGTTGCTGTTTGACATCGGTGAATTGATGTTTGGCATTAGTGAATTACTGTCTGACACTGGTGAATTGATGTTCGACATTAACAAAGCTCTCTTACTATCGTTTCTGTTGTTTTACAACTCCTATGTATATATATATATATAATAAATAAGATAATAAATTGTATTTTTTTGTCAGAGTATTTTAATAATAATAACAACAACAATAATAATAATAATGATTATGCGAGATGTAATGTTACATATTTATTCGTTTATGTGATGAAAATTTGAATATTATTTATTTACCTATTAATTAATTAATTCATTCATTCATTCATTCATTCATTCATTCATTCATTCATTCATTCATTTATTCATTCATTCATAAATTTAGCCACACTTTTGTAAACTATACTGATGTGTTGTCATATTCTATTTACCATTTGGAATATTATTTATAATCAGTATATCGAGAACATTTCAGAAATTTATATAAATATATATATATATATATATAAATATATATATTTATATAAATTTCTGAAATGTGTTATATATTTCTATATATATATATGGACTTAATTTAACAGTTTTAATTAATTAATTATTAGCTAATCATTATTTGTTTTTTTTTCTTTAGTCCAATTTCAATTTAAAATCTGATGACGCATTATTTCAATTATTTGATTCAATTTTCAAATTGTTGAATTTATTTATTTTTTTTATTCTATATTTTTGGGTTTTTTTTCCTTTAATATAAATATCACAATGACAATGATTGTTCTTTGTTTGTGTGGCTCCTTCGCTTAAACATCGAAATTGAATAAAATGAACTGAATTTTCGGTTGTGGGGGTCGGTCGGTTGTTGGGAGTTTCGTCGTCGGTCGGTCGGTTGATCGGTCGGTCGATTAATTAGTCGGATTATCGGTCTCTCGCTTGACTGAGAGTTCGATAGTTTGGTTGGTCGGTAGGTTGGTCGGTCGGTTTTTTGTTGGATGTATTCAGCGTAATATGTTTGAGGTATACTTTTTTACTGTTGTCTCTCAACATTAACCAGCTTGATCATGTAAATGTGCTGTCACGAGTTTTCAGTTGTTTTCCGAATTATTCATTTGATGATTTTGTTTTATTTATTCATCATATTGTAATAATGCGACAGTTATTTGATCTTGGACTTCTGGTTCGGTACACTGATTCTTCATGAAATAGCATCAACATTATAACATGAACACAACACAGTATAAGCAACAATATCAACAACAACATCAACAACAACAACAGCATCAACAACAACAACTGCTGATATTCAATATTTTTTTTTCATTTTTTCAATCATCCAATTTCATCTTTTTGCATATTTTTCAAAATTATTTGTATCTAAACTAAGACAACGTTCCAACCTCAATACCAATGTTGTTGTTGTTGTTGTTGTTGTCACTTAATGCTACCGGAAATCTGTCACCAAGAACATCAATCACAGCTACAGCCACAATATTGCAACATCAACAACATCCAATAGAGCGATCAATTTCATCCATATATTCATCTTGCATGGCAATCCCATTAACAACAGTAACAAGACAACATCAACAACAACAACATTACAGCAACGACAATTTTGTCCCACATTTAAAATGGCTTTATGACATTAACGCAGCAACAACAACATCACTTATTTATGACATCAACAATTGACACAACTTTTATTACAATTATCTCCAAAACAGCAACAACAACATCAACAGCATTAACAACTGCACCGACAACAACATTAACATCACCGTAATA